TCATACCCTCGCCATCCTTTCGTCTGTTCCTTTGACTCATGTTCACACAGTAACAGGTGCTCATTTCCCCCGACCTCGCAGCTTTAAGGTCACACAAGCGAGTAATTGATGAGCAAACCGTCAGTGTCTTCAACAAGTGCTCCTGGTTCACATCAAAACATTTCACTGTATTACAGAAAGAGGAATATTTGCACATTCTTTATTAGGCGTGAAAGATAAATGGGTGGAAATTGAGTCGGCTGTGTGACTCATCAGACTTTCTGCTCAAACATTAAGGAGCAGCAATGGGATGAGGTTTTTGGCTCATTACCAGCTTCAGTAAGCCAGATCTCTCCGTCTCTTTTCTCACTCCACCGTAACACTCATCCCTGCAGAGAGGTGTAATCTACCAGGAGCACGTCGTGAATCCACCATTAAATACTATTGTAATATTAACATGTTGAGTTGAACAGATGTGTGTATGCAGAATGAAGAAGTGAGATAAGAAGTACTTCATTCATCATTTGGGGAAAGTAGGGTATAAGCAGTCTCTCCAGTGAAATACTTTTACTGTATGTTCATTTCTACACTCATCAATGGAAGATACAAGAGTAGTAGCTTAGAAAAATGTGTTTTCAAAAGTTATTTTTATTCTGAAATCTTAACTGTAGGCAGTAATAACATTAACTTGTTGGATATTAAGAGATACGTCTGGTTCATTAGATATAGGATCATTACTTTTTGATATCAACCATTACTTTAGCCGACAATGACCTTTGATTTCTTTGTGGAAATATACAGATTTTGTATTTACCAAAACACAACCTGTATATTTCATTTTTTAAAGACGTTAAAACAAATGCTAGTTTTGGGTCTCTCTGTTGTTTCTTTTATTAAAAAGCAAATATATGTTAAAAATAAACATGTTTTTAGATGTGTTTTACTTACTACGTTTTCAAGAGGACCTATTCTCATTCTCAGGTTCATATTTGTATGTTGTACCTCAACTGTGACGTGTTTATACTTGCCAACCTTTAGACCTCAGAAATCGGGAGCATCTCAAAATGCAAAATTGGGGGGGTGCTAGTGGATCGCCGGAGCTGTTAGATTAACATTAACATGCTTATTGTAGTTGTAAGTGCACTGACTTGCGGCCTGTAGCACCGTCCTTGATGGAGCATATGTGTGGGCTGGACCTGTATTTTACAGGAAAGGAGTGAGCAGAGAGTAGAGCAGTTGTCGATTCTTGTTCTGTTTTCTGTGAATATCTGCCTCACCCTCTCAGACTTTGAGTTGCGCGCGCTACTAAAGAGACGTGTTACCATGGAAACCAAACAATGGTGTAGCTGTATTAAAGTCCGAGTGGAAACAGTCGTGTGTAAATCTGATTTGGTCAGAAATCGGGAGAAATGCGGGAGAAATATGACCCCGGGAGGAAACCGGGAGAGGGCAATGAAATCGGGAGTCTCCCGCGAAAATCGGGAGGGTTGACAAGTATAATGTTCAAAAAGGTCTTTATTTTTCTCATACTGCCTACAGTACATACAGCCCCCTACCTACTACCCAACGTAGCTCAAGCTAACTAAATAAATAGCAAAAGCAATATTGTAGTATAAGATAAGATGAACTTTATTTTATTTTTTCCGTTGCAGCTGCATAAAGACAAGGCTTTGCACATAAGACACTTCACCTGAATGATGTGGGTATTGAACACAGTACATGTATGATATCAATGTGTACTTGTAAAAGCGCCTTGATGACTTTGAGGTGTGAAGATGGGCGGTGTGGCGCAGTGCGCTGTGCATTGATCATCAGATCAAGGGGTGAAACCCGCCGACGCTGCGTCTGTGAAGCCGTTGTGTCCTTGGGCAAGGCACTTCACCTGAACTTGCTCCTGTGGGTGTGGTCCACAGTACATGACCATTACATGTATGATCTGTATGTGTAATGTGTATGTGTAATGTGTATGTGTAAAGCGCTTTGAGAGTCATTGAAAAAGTGCTATAATAAATATAAGGATTATTATAAGAGAAATGAAAAGGGCAGAAATAACCAATTCTAAAATGTAAACATCTCAAAATAGAAATAAAACAGCTTTAAAAAGGAATAAAGCGGGATATTATATACATGAAGTGTGAAAGGACAATGTCTGTGGATGTGTGTGTATGTCACATTAAGTAATATCATGATGCAGTATCTCTGTAAAAAGGAGAGTTTGTATTCTTAATGAGAAAGCTATTCACCCCAAATCTCTCTTTGTCGTTGTGCACGCACTTTTGAGACAATACGTAAATGTTAAATGATGTCGTGCTCATACATGATGTCGTGATCATACATTACATATTAAAGCACAATCCTGGACTGCACAACAAACCTGGAGGAAAGATGTTAAGCCTCTTTGTTTACATTGCAAATAGTTAATATTCCCCCCCCCACTATATGGATGCAGAACTTTGGACATCTAGAACTATATATATGACAGACGATGTAATGTGGATGATGTCAGACTGATATCTGTTCATGCAGTCGCCTCCTCTCTTCTCTATATTTGAAGGTGCTGCAGTGAAAAGCTTCTCTTTGTGTTGTTGTTGTTGTTGTTGTTGTTTTGGAAACACCGGCCAGCACGCAGGCGAGAATGTGGGCGGATGTTCTCGCCTGCTCTCCCTCTTTGTGCTTCCGTATAAAGAAACCCTTTTTCCTTATTCATAATCAGAGGGATAAACAAAAAAAGCATGGCAGTGAACGGCCACATACTTTTTCTTTTTACTCTCCACTAAATGTGTTCATCAGCTGAATGTCTCGTGTTTGAAACTATTAAATGAAATTAGGTTGCTCCGAAAAAAATGAGTTACCTAGCGACTGTTGGAGTTGTTCCTAAAACCATTCATTTCTTTAAATATTGTTTTTCTTTACCTGCCATCAGCGACACCTTGTCCCACATAAACGCCGTTAGATAATGGACGTTGAGTGTGATGCGTTTCAGCCGATAAGCCCTGAGAGGAACTGTTTGAACTCGTGAAGCAGAGGAAACTAATTACGGTGATTTTTGGTAAATTGGCTGCAGAGGATGCAAGCTCCATTTTACCGTCAGTGACAGACATGTTGTGTTTGAACTAGGGCCGCACGATACTGAAAAAAAGTGACATTGAGATATTTATTTTCCCCTGCGATATATATTGCGTTTTTTTTAACTATATTTAACCGGATGAAGGATTTCAGTCACGGACGTCTGGATCTTAACTGGTTGACTCATCATACCTTAAGTCATGATCTCACATGTCATGATAATGCATGTTGCTTACCCTCAAATAAGGGGGTTCATCTGTGAAGAAGAGAAGAACCTTTTTGTATCCAAAATAGTTCCAGATGGCAGATGTTGCTTTTATTTCTGGAAGTAAATCTTCATTCTCTCCGGTATTGTCCTCCTGTGCCTCGCTCATTTGTTACCGGTGTTTTGATGGTCTGCAAACTAGCGGGGCGGGGCCTGCTGTGATCTGATCCAGAATGATTGTGATTGGTGGTTTACCCCTGACATGAGAGCCGTGCAAGTTTTCCTTTTGTAGCAAGCAGCAAAATAATTGTAACATGACGTGTTTGAGTTAATGTGCCTACTTAATATCGCACGTCCTAAAAAAAAAAAAATAAAAATTATAAAAAATTAATAAAATCGCACGTCCCTGCGATGTGAATATCGCGCATGCGCATATCGCGGTTATCGCCATGACACGATATATCGTTCAGCCCTAGTTTGAGCGTCTCCTTCAGACGAGGTAAAGACTGTGTGATGTGAGCTCAGGGAACGAGGCCAAAAATCAAAAAATCATTCAAACGACTTC